AAATTTAGCCATTTTATCTCTATCGACTTGGAAATATTTAACATCACAAGTATTCACAACCAAAATCTGCATGTGAAAAAACTCCTAGGGAATCAATTGTGGTCATCTTGAAAAGACATCTTGAAAGATCTTAAAAACAAAGAAATTTAACCAACAATGACTAACCTTTGTTGTTCAATCTTTGATCCTCTGTATTCTGAATAAATCTTGAGCTCTAAATCACGCAAACCCTCCTCTTGTAACCTCTCTTGATATTTCACAAAGAATCAAATCCAATAATGTTTTTTTATTTGATTTCTCTAACATTTTTCCTTTCTTCTATCTTAAGAAGAATACAAAAAGGAAATTAAGTATGTTCCAAGAGAACAAGAAAAAAGGGTCTTGGGAGAAAAGGGAGAATAGGAATAAGGGGTAAAGACTAATATGCCCAAGGCATTTTCTGCCCTTAGACCATGGGCAGCAGCCAAAGGAGGGCATATCGAGTTGGCCTAAGAACAAGGTGCATGAGCCCCCCATCCACCTTAAGGCGCCACCTGGGCACCCTAATTGAAGCCCTAAAAGAGTTAAGAAGCTTCCCCAACTTAGTGACATTTACGAGTGATAAGAGCATGATGCGAGGAACTTGGTTGGGGGGTGGCGATCCCCTTGTGAATCTCACTCCAGCTTGCTCCCCCCAATCAAGGGATCTCGATTCCTGACTAAAAGGGATCTTGATCCCTATGGAAGGGGGAATGTAACCCTATTAAAAAGGTGTGTGATCTAGGTATGAAAGAATCTCCATCCTAAGTTTCTAAAGTTTCTAAATCTTGAACTTGAGATCTTTGATTTCTTTCTGATTTTTACTCTAGCAATTTCTAGCTAATGACCACTTATCAATGAATTTTTTTTCTTTCCATTTTCATACATCAATGGTTGAAAACCAGCAAGACAACTTGAAATCGCCTAAGTTGACTCAAAGGTCCCTAGTCCCAAGTAACCCTGAGCCGGGGAGTCGCTCGGGTTGTCCAGAATCAGGTTGTTCGCTATAATGAATCACCTAGGTCACTACCAATCTCACAAGAATTTGATTCTTATCATGGCCCCAAAGTCTCATTCAGGTTGTCCAGAATCAGGTTGTTCGCTATAATGAATCACCTAGGTCACTACCAGACTCACAAGAATTTGATTCTTATCATGGCCCCAAAGACTCATTTTTCTTTATTTTTTTATGGAACTATCAGGTTATAGAGTTCTCAATATGCTTGTAAAGATAATGTTAAAAAACTGGAATATAAATTTTTTATTTTTTAAATATCACTTGTATCGATCTATTTGTCTATACACACACACACACACACATAGAGGGCACTCCCTAAGCTCTCCCATATACATAGTTTGCACCCATAACAGCCTCCCAAGGTAGGGAGCTTCAGCCACAAGTTGTTCACAAGCACTCACTCCCACTCCCAAACCATGAATGAAAAGCCACATTTATAAACCACTAAACCTTGGTTTTTTCCTAAATTTTCTTTGTATGTGGATGTCCAAGGTATTTTTGCAACAAACCTTGCCAATAAATCCCACACTTAGATAGATCAAGATTAGTTCCGAAGCCTCTACAGATCTATATATTATTTTATTGACATTTAGGAGCTGTCTCGTGAGTTCTATCTCCTTATTTCAACAAAGTGTTGAGAACTGCATAGAAATGGAGCTTACAACCTGTAGATTATGGTGAAGGGTGTTGAGCGCACCTGTTCTGTTACAAGAATGAGTAAAATTCGAGTAAATTTCAATGGATCCACAAACCAAGGAGAAACAGATTAGTTGTTGCCAAGCTACACAAGATGGTCTACATCCATTACGACTTAATCCTCTGGAAGCCGCTTTCAAAACAAAACTGTGAACTACGAGCCTATCAACTTTGATCACATATCCAGATGATCTAGTTAAGGAGGGGTTGGTGGAAGTGAGGGAGGCATTTCTCAATAAGAGGCAAAGAGGATTTAGATGGAAGTGGGAATCAAGAGGCACATGTTGGAGGAGTTGCAAAAGTTGAGGGAGACGCACAAGTTCAGGAGCAAGGGGAGATGTAAGCGGAGATGGTGACGATAGTGAGACCATTTAAGGAAACAATAGTGACATAAGGACCTGAGAGCGGACTTGAGCAGTGGGATGTGGGTTGTGCACAAAGCCTAGACTAGCCTAAGGGACTGTGTGTTAGGATGAATTACCCAAGTTGGGATGTGGGTTGTGCACAAAGCCTAGACTAGCCTAAGGGACTTTGGGTTAGGAGGATTTACCCAAGTTGCCCAACTAAGAATCATTCATTAACTGTTATAAAGATGGCCTGGAAGACCAAGAATTGGATGATTTTGAGCCTCCCCATCATTCTTATTGGTCATAAATTGAGTCAGATATCATGTATATTCTTAATTTTAAGTGCTCCTATGGAATACACAGTTATTCAAAAACCGGACCACCTAACGCCTAGGCAAATCGAAAGGCCCGGGCGCATCGCCCAAGCCTAGGCGGCTAATCTTTGCAAAAGTTGGCCATTCGAATCTTAAACCTAACCACTTCTTCATCCGGTTGTGAGCGCAATTGAAGTACTTTGAAGGGGTAAGGCCGTAAGGGTAATTTGTATAATTTTATAAATAATACATGAACTATAGATATTAGATTTTAATTAGTTTCATTTGATTTTGTTAGATTCATACAAAGAAAATGAACAAGCTTGAATCAAAGAAGCTCAATGACCTAGTCTATGTCAAGTACAATCGATTTTTGAAGGACACATTTGCTAAGAAAGATAAGAGAGACCCCATCAGATCAAAAAATATGGACCATGCTATGGAGTGGTTAGTTGATGATGATGAGGTCGAGGGGCATGAAGGATTGACATGAGACATGGGACATGGATGCTTCAAGGACATCAGCTGACCCTCCTAGGGCCACTAGATCTTACGTACAGAGAACAAGGATGGAGGAAAAGGAGGAAGAAGAGGCTGATTCAGAAGAGACGGAGACGACCAATATGTCGAGGAGGGTAACAACTATGATGAATATGATGCCAAGATTTTTTGAAGATGCATGAATGATGAATGTTGATTGTTGAATAATTATTAAACTTTGAAGTTTAAACTTTGATTGAAGTATTGTGTATTTAACTATTGAAGATTCTTTTGAGTCTTCAAGTATTAGTTTCATAATTCAATTTTGTTTTCTTCCTCATGGTGGTGTACTGCAGTACTGGTGTGATATTATTTGATAACTTGGTTTGATACTTTGGTTGGTTGGAAATTTTTAAGTTTTAATTGGATATGGAGTACGAACCGATTTATGGATTATGGTTATGCTTATGGAGTGTGTGCTAAATGCTAATATGTAGTATAATTTGAATTATGTACTGCAATACATAACCGATACTGACATAACTGCAGAATCCTTATTTGGCCTCAAATAGGCCGCCCAGGGCGCCCACCTAGGCGCTGGGCGGCCTGGACCCGCCTAGTGCTTTTTGAAACACTGGGAATGCATTATCGTTATATATTCCAATTTGGACCATGAATGAATGCCTGACATCTGGTAGATAAACCCTTAATATCTATAAGTTCTCTATTTTTATCAATATACATAGCATTTTTATTCTTTTTGTTTATTAATATTCCTCATGTTTCTTATTTTTTTCCATGTTTTATTATTTTTCAGAATTATTTAATGCCTCTTGTGCCCGACTTGACCAAACACATTGAGCTGATTCAATAATCGTAAAGTCATCTCAGCATGCCCGTGCCCGAACCCGAAGAAGTTGAGTTTGGATTTTACGGCACCTATGGATTTTAATACTTTTAATACAAGTACAACTCACAAGGACCACACCTTTCTCGGTTTCAAAGTTTCCCCCAACACAACACTCGCCATTTCTAAAAGCTTCCCGTCCATGCTCAAGGAACTCACACTCTTCCATGAATGGTGCCAATGTCCAACCCCTTATTGACATCGGCCAAGTTGGCTTTTTCCAAGAAACTTGTAGCACAATAAGTAATAAAATGACAAATTTTAGAACTAACTTGAAGTTTCCCTTAGCATCAATTTCCAAGCTTTGGTCATCAAAGTAGACAGATTCTCCTTGGGAAGCAAATACACAAACAAGGATATAAATATTGGATGAAGTTGAAACCTTTCAACACCAAATATTCAAAAAACTAGGACACAAACTCCATGAAGTACAAAATTCATAATATTTGACAATTGAAAGATAAATTGGCTACAATCATTTTAAGTATCATATAGCATGACAAACATTCCAACATGAAGCACATGCCAGCGCGCACAGAGGTGTACATAAGTGCTTGCATGCAAATGTGAACTTTCAACCACCCTAGAGCAGATGAGAAAGCATAAGAACTCAAACCATATACGTAAAAACATACAAATTAAAGATGCAAGCCATGAAGAACCGTCCCAAGTATGCGTATTAAATCTCAAGACAAGGTTCCCCAATGGATATGCGACCATGTTTGTGTGCATACATATGTCCATATCATGTGCACAGTTCCATCAAAATCACTGAAATTGCATTGATGAAATAAGGACCCAAGCTCTTATGAAAGAGATCCTAAGTACACAGTAAAATTTAAAACCCTAGGTTCTCTAACGCATGACAGAGAGACCTAAGAGTTGAAAAAAAAATGAATGGGACTCAGAGTAATTCCATTAAAGCATGAGCTCTACAGTAATAACATCGTCAAAGTTCCAAATGTTGACAACCACAATGCTATCGACTCATGAAAACCAGATATTGGCATCAGAGTATGGAAACGTCAAAAGATGGAAAAACAGAAGATGAATCAACAGATCCAACAGAGAAATTGGCTGCAATATAAAAAATCCAAAACAAATCACGAGAAAAACAATGTCATCCAAAATACCTATTTCAAACCAGAAATGGATGACGTTATTACATTGCTCCCCACTAGAAAGCAAAGAAAGTGAAGGATAGGGGATTTCGGGTTTACCTTAGAGGGGTCGACCTTTTGGAAGTTCTTGACAACAGTGATAACACGATCTGCAACTTCAGACTTGTCGAGAAAGGAACCCTTCAACTCATCGGAGAAAAAGCGGTGAAGAAAAGATGGAGCAAAAACCCGAGAAGGTGCAGCAGGGACGTGAGTAACCCTAATCCTCATGTGTTTCAGAATGGCATTCCTCACTGTAGCAGCCGCCATTAGAGTGAGTTCTGGAGCTCTGCTTACAAGTTTGAAGCCCCTTCTCCTGTCACTGTGACTATGGGAGGATACGAAAACAGTGAGACTCAAAATACTGATGGAAAGCCGCTCAGGCCCTTGAAAACATGCCAACACTGTTGTGCTACTACTTGAAAGACCGAGAGGGAACAAACCCTTCCTTGAAGTGGCCAAAACGGCCTCTACTTTCATTGATGATGCTCCTTTAGTTCTTGCAAACTAAATGGGAACTGGTTAAAATAATACGGAAAAAGTTTACAGAGCCGAGGCTCTAAACAACCAAATTAGAGCCCACCTCACAAATTTCACTAGAAGAGGTTTTGATGCTTAAATATCCTCAAATTGATCATCTTGACATCAAGATGTATGGACATGAGAAAAAACTCGATTTCAAGTTTTGAAAATAGTGCATTTTGTAACATATTTTTGGACCGTCAATTTTTACGATATTCAAGTTTTCATAGATATGCCGGATCTATAATATTTTTGAAGCTTTAAATTTTATAATTAAATTTGAAAAATATAGTTTAAGGCTATGACAAGATTTCCAGTATTGAAACCACATTTCTCGATGCTATTTGAAGGTGTATTTTACTTTGATTGTTTAGAGCCTTGGCTCTATACAAACCGCACTTAAAAAAACATACTTATTTTAAATTTTTTAAAGGATGTTGTTTGTATGGAGCCTAGGCTCTAAACAATCAAATTAGAGCCAATCTTCAAATAGTATCGAGAAATATAGTTTCAACAAATAAAATATTTGTGATAGCCGTAAAATATGTCTTCATCTTTATTTATAAAGTTTAAAGTTTCAAAACAGTGTAGATCGACATATCTATGAAAACTTGAAAATCTTGAAAATTGACGGTCCAAAAATACATTACAAAATACACTATTTCAAAAACTTGAAATCTATTTTTTTCTCATGTCCATGCATCTTTCTATCAAGATGATCAATTTGAGGATATTTGGGCATCAAAACATTCTCTTGTAGTGAAATTTTTGAGGTAGGCTCTAATTTGATTGTTTAGAGCCTCAGCTCTATATAAACTTTTCCCTTTTTTAAAGGGTGTGGTTTGTATAAAGCCTTAAAATATATTTTTAGCTTTAATTATAACATTTAAAACTTTAAAAATAGTGTAGATCGAGTAGATTTATGAAAATCTTGAAAATTGATGGTCCAAATATGAATTACAAGATGCACTATTTCCAAAACTTGAAATCCAGTTTTCTCATGTCCATACATCTTGATGTCGAGATGATCAATTTGAAGATATTTGGGCATCAAAATAACCCCTTCTAGTGAAATTTTTGAGGCGGACTCTAATTTGATTGATTAGCCTATGTAAACTTTTTTAAAAAAATATTGAAAAAATAAATATTTAGAAACCTATCATGCCCTTTTTTTTACTATTCACATCTTGTTGCGGGAAATACCATTGAGGGTTCTAAATAGGCCAAATAGGTATGGGATCTTCTAAAACATCCATGTCCAAAGTGTCACAGTTGTATTATGAAGTTTTAAAGCATCATGGTTTTATTTGAACCATTAAAATAAGGGTGAGGCTCTAAACAATCAAATTAGGGCGCACATCAAAAATTTCATTGGAAGAGGTTGTTTTGATGCCCAAATGTCCTCAAATTGATCATCTTGACCTCAAGATGCATGGACATGAGAAAAAATGGATTTCAAATTTTGGAAATAGTGCATCTTGTAATGCATGTTTGGACCGTTAATTTTCCAGATTTTTAATTTTTCATATATCTGCTCGATCTACACTATTTTTTAAGCTTTAAATTTTATAATTAGATATGAAAATATATTTTAAGGGTATTACAAAGATTTCCAGGATTGAAACCACATTTCTCGACACTATTTGAAAGCATTTATGTTGATTGTTTAGACATTGGCTTTATACAAACTGTACCCTTAAAATAAAGATACCATGATGCTCTGAACTGTGATGGCTTATAATCCTCCCGTTCTTCTAGAACCATCATGCTTCTTAAAATAAAGACACCATCACGGTCCAAGTAGAACCATGACAATGTTTTACGTTATAGAACATTCAAAATCGTGACAAGTATCACCTTATAATTCATCACGGTTCTATTAGAATCGTGATGAATTATGAAGATTTAAATCATCACTGAGATCTACTCATCCAACATGCCAAGTACAAATTGATCGGGTGGAAACGCAAATTCTTTAGCTTTCTGGTCGTACAACACTAGTGAAAGCCACTTTTTCTAACCTTCCTATTTACTATCTCTCTTTGTTTCAGGCCCCGAATTCGGTCACTCTCAAGATTGAACAAATGATGCAGAATTTCCTTTGGAGTGACACCCAGCCAAATAAAAAGTTTCATCTTGTTAGTTGGAATTTTGTCTATCTACCGCGTAACGAGGGTGGTTTCAGTATTCGGAGGATTAAGGTTGTCAATGAAGCATTGTTGACCTGGCACCTTGCTACCCAACAAGATTAGCTTTGGGCCAAGGTTATCTTTGAAAAATATGGTCATGATATCGAAGGTTTTACAACTAGACGATATTCCAATTCTTCACGTCTATCACCAATATGGCGGGGCATTAGTTAGGTTCGTAATCTCCTTCTCCCATATACTAGGATGTTAGTAGGAGATTGAGCACTTATAAGATTTTGGCATGATAAATGGCTAGAGGACTATCCCCTGAAACTAATTTATCTAGATATATACACCGGATCTATTGTGCCCGATCTTATATCCTTGGATAGTGATAGGTCCACTTGGAACATGATGCTGAATATACGTAGAGGTGTGTAACAATCCTAAACGTTCAAAAAAAAAAAAAGAAGAAACTTTTAATACATGACAATTCGTTTGAACATGATGGTCCTTAGGGATCATCGTTACTTTTAAAAGCTTTTGGTTTAAAAGCTTTGTTGCTTCCTTGCTCTTGCCACGTCCACTAAAGGACGTGGGCTTTAGGCGTTTAAAGCGTAAGCTAAGGCTCACATCTGTAACGTAATAAAAGAATAAAATAATATGTTAGTAGAATTTAAATTCAGAGAGGTGAGGACTCCTACTTTAGAAAACTTATGAGATTTTTCTCTCTGGTCGAAACACAGTGAACTCCTCGCTCTAGCCGAATTTTTATCGGAAGCTCCCTCTCAAATATTTGTGTGTAAGTGACATCGTCTTCCTGAAAAATAGTCTGTTTTTAATAAATAGTGATATTTCCATCCAGGATCTTTATTTTATAAGTTTTGTATGTAAGTGATTTCATTATCTTGAAAAATAATCCGTTCTTTTTAAAAATGAAATGAAATAATTATTTCTGCTTATTATCATGAATTTTAAGCACGATAAATTTTATGCGCAAGTGACCTCATATTTTAAAAAATAATCTGTTTAATAAAATTGTGATATTTTAACTATGTTAGAAATTTTAAATGCTGTAAAATTATTAGAAATAGATGTGATATTTCTGCTGTTAGTAAAATTGTGAGAATTCTTTCTACTGTTTTTGAATATTTAGACGTTGTAAATTTCATGTGCAAATGACTGCCTTATTAGTTTAAACTGATATTTTTGCAATTGATTATAGCATTTGTCACACCCCAAGAATTTACAATACTGTTATTCCTGAGATGTGACAGACAAAATATATATAAATCTATTGATAGGATAAATTTACAGTGGCGAGGTCTTACAAAGTAAATAAAGAAAGCTAGCACAACAACAGTATCTTTCTAGGTTGATCTTGACTAGCACTCAAAATGAATCCGCAGTTATCCTGAAAAAATGTTTACCATAGTTTGATGAGTTTGGCTACTCAGTAAGTGATCATCATAATTCTAAAAATAATTATGATTGAAAGATATCAATATTTTCCAAAATGAGATCTATTAACAGAAATGCAACAACAGTTTCACTTACAATAAATGCATAATTAAGTATAATCCGAGTAATTGAAATGCTTATAACACTTTTAACGGCAGTACATAATTCAAAGGATTTCACAAAATACCCTACTGGCGTCACAAGTAGGTCACCTATATACCCCATCAGCGTCCTGATGGGTCCACTTAATCCCTATCGGCGTCCCAGATAGGTCCACTTAATCCCTGCAGGTCCACTTATACCTCACCGGCGTACCGGATGAGTCCACTTAATCCCTACCGGCGTCCCAGATAGGTCCACTTATACCTCACCGGCGAACCGGATGAGCCCACTTGCATACTTAAATTATTTCTAAATCTCTTTAAACATTCGAAAGCAGCAATATCATGTACCCAATATATCACTGAAATCATTAATATGAATTTCACTGAAACCATTAATAACAGTCACTTTCAATAACATTTCTAAAATAACCAATCAAATATTTT